AAAGGGTTCTTCTACTGTAACAAGCTTGACCTTGTGACAGTAGCAGAACCCTTTTTGGTGCTAAACAGAACGCTTTTCAGAAAGGTTCTATACAGAACCATCTACAGCACATTCTGCATCCATCTTAAGAACACTTTCACAATTCAAAGAACCATTTAATCATGCAAAGGGTTCTTTGAGTGTCCATGGTTCCATAGAGAACCATTTTCTTTACTAAGGAACCCTTGAAGGACCACCTTTTTTTTTTAAGTGTGTACTAAAGTGAGTACTTTTCACAAATATGACTTAGTATTTCATACTTATAACTTACTTTCTCATATTTATGACTTACTATCTCAGAAAATGATCTCATTATTATGAATCAGTAGGTAATTATGAGATAAGTCATAATTCTCAGACAGAATCTCATTATGAGACAGCAAGTCATGACAATGAGATGCTAAGTCACAATTATGAGATACTAAGTCATAATTATGGAAAACTTTCTCATTATTATGACTTCCTAAAAGACTATATACATTTCTCCAGTGATGGAAACCATAGATTACGCTATATTTAACAGTGTAAATATTCATTTTAATCAACAAACACAATATCTGTGTTTATGTATATATATAAAAACACACTTGTGCTTGTAATCTCATCTAATTCAGAAATGAGAAACTATCAGGTCAAAACAAATGCAGTACTACAGAACCACTGTCCTCTATTAATTGCTTTGGCCACGTTGCATATAAATACGTCATGCCAGCTGAACTGATGTGCATAAAATTAAAGGCAAACTCCACCACTTTTTCAAAAAAGTCTACATAATTAAGTGGTTGAGATGTAAACAGAGTCATTCAGAGTGGTTTGGTGTGAAATGCTAAGTTCTAGAGAAACGTATAGAGCCAGAACTGTTCACAGTGGTGGTGATAGGAACCAGACGTCCACCTCTGCCTGATGCCTGTGACATTGTTTTACGATAGTTTTGTGATTGTTTTGGCTTGCAGTGCATTTTAATCCATTTATTTTAATCCAGTCAAGGCGGAGGGGTTCATGCAGGGCGTCGTGAGGCAAAATAGTCCCTATAAAAACTCAGAAGACGGGTGTAGCTTCACAGGCTCTTTTGGATATTAAGTAAAATGTCCCTATTCGTTGTTGCAGACATGGTGACCCCTGGTTCCCATCACCACTGGAAAGAAACCCGAGTCCCTACAATCAGCCCTTTCACACCAAACCACTCTGAATGGCTGTTTACATCTCAGCCACTGAATTAGTCTGAATTTTGGAAATACTGGTGGAACTCCCCTTTAAGGCAGATGCTGCTGCTGTCCGTCATGCTTCAGCTGCTTTGGTCACACCGCACGCGGTGCAGCCCACCAAACTGACGCGCGTGCGGTGCGGGATCAGCTCCTTACCGAGGAAGCCGATGAGCGTGACGTTGTATCCGTGTCGGCTGAGGGACAGCGCGTGGTACTGCATGCGCGGACTGCGCCCCAGGTCTCCCAGCACGAGCACGCAGGCGTTCTGCAGCGCCGACTCGTCGCGCGCCTTCAGGCTCCGCGCCAGCACGAAGATGAAGGCGACCACCCCGACGGGCAGCAACGCCCACGGCAGACTGAGCCCGGCCAGCAGCCCCAGCAGCACCAGGGACACCGTCACCAGCACCACTGCAGCGTTAGCGTCCGCCATGGTGGCTCTGCAGCGCGCACGTGACGCACTCTGACGGGGAGGAGGATTTAAAGGAGCCGCGCACCTTTACGGCGGCGCGCTAATGCTAATGCTAATGCTATTCACTGATTATTACATATCTCATAACTTATTACGACTTACTAACAGTTATCTCATAATAACGACTTACTATTTCATAATAACGAGTTACTGTCTCATAATTATGACTTACTTTCTCATAGTTATGACTTAATATTTCACAATTGTGACTTACTTTCTCATATTTATGACAATATTTCATAACTATGGCTTACTTCCTCATATTTATGACCTAATATTTCATAATTATGGCTTACTATTTCAGAATTTTGACTTACTTTCTCATGCTTATGACTTAATATTTCACAATTTTGAATTATGTCTCATAATTATGACTTACTTTCTCATATTTCTGACAATATTTCATAACTATGGCTTACTTCCTCATACTTATGACCTAATATTTCATAATTATAGCTTACTATTTCAGAATTTTTACTTACTTTCTCATACTTATGACTTAATATTTCACAATTTTGACTTACTTTCTCATATTTATGGCTTACTTTCTCATGAATATGACTCACTATTTCAGAATTATGACTTACTTTCTCATATTTATGACTTACTTCCTCATGTCTTCCTATTTCATAATTATGACTTACCGTCTCATACTTATAACTTACTTTCCTTATATTTATGACTTACTTTCTCATATTTATGACTTACTATCTTAGAAAATGATCTCATTATTTTGAGATAGTAATGTTGAGATAGCAAGTCACAATAATGAAACACCAGGTCATAATTATGAGATACTAAGTTATAATTATGGAAAACTTTCTCATTATTATGACTTACTAAAAGACTACTTTTCCAGTGACAGAAACAGGCGTCCATACATAAATCTATATTTAATAGTGGAAATATTTATTCTAATTAACAAGTGCAGTAATTGTTTAACCAATTTTTCTGTAAAATGAACATCTGTACTTTTTACCTTGTACATGCTTTATAATGTGTCCTTTCAGTGCTTAGCTGTGCTGCACACTGCACAGTATTTATTTATTTATTTATTTATTTATTTATTTATTTACTACTTACGCACTTACAAACAACGTACAATCAATAATGGCTGAACAGTGTACAATTACACAAACCACCCACAGTCAGTAAATTCTTGTATTTTCTTGTATCTTGTATTTTCTAAACAGCATCTAATCACACCACTTTTCCAGCATAGACAGATTAATAGATTGATAGGAAGACAGATCAGCTCATCTTTGTTTTCTTTCTTTATATTATAGCTGGTTAGATCCATATAAATAAGGCATACTCGATACCGTTTAACACCAGGTAGGCCTCGTGATACACGCAGCCGATCAAAATCACAAGCAGACCAATCAAAACGGCCCTCCTTGCCTGGATATTTTGATATTTTCCTGCTGAAACGAATTTTAACTCATCTGCTGATTTAAAAGCCTTTTCTGAGCTGCAGTGTGTTTGTTAGCGCAAAACACTAAAGTGTAGTTACAGAACCAGGGGCATCACCGCATCACAGTCCAGTTCCCAGTGATCCAGTTTGTTCAGTTACACCTCTTAAAGGGAAACTTCACCAATTTTTAAAACGTTCTGCGTAATTAAGTGGTTAAGATGTAAACAGTGTCGTTCAGAGTGGTTTGGTGTGAAATGCTTAGTTCTAGAGAGACTTACAGAGTCAGAATTGTTCACAGTGGTGGTGATAGGAACCAGACATCCACCTCTAAAAGCTCCCTCACAGAAAGTTTCTACATGAAATGATGACAGAACATTGCCTGAGATGTTGTTTTTTGAGACGGTTTTGGACTAAAACATTTTTAAAATCTATGCCTGGTGGAGGGCTTCATGCAGGGCAGTGTGAGGCAAAATAGCCCCCATAGAAAACTTTTCCCAGCATCAACATTCCATAGACTCGTGTAGGTTTACTGGTGGTTTTGGATAGTAAATAAAATGGCTATATTTGTGTTGTAGTCATGGCGACCCCTGGTTCCTATCACCAGCACTGTAAAGAAAACTGAACTCTGAAATGAAATTTCTTTTGAAATCACCATTTCACACCAAACCACAGTGAACGACTTTGTTTACATCTCAAGGATTTAATTGTGCAGACTTTTTGAAAAAATTGGTGGAGTTTCCCTTTAAACACAGCTGAACCGGGTGATCAGCATTCCTCAGCTCACGACTACCTGCCTCAGGTGTAGCAGTAAAACTAGACTATGGACTATCCAGGGCTTCTCAAGAGCTGGATTAGGAACTAAACAACAGACTCAGAGAAACAGGCCAGGCCGGAGAATTTGTAGTAAAGAGAACTGCCACTCTTCTGAGTTTGACTAATGCTAGAGGGCGCTAACGTTACTGTACTGAGCGCTGATTGTTTGTCGAGCTGAGCAGCTTATTGGCTGTTCCCCCTTACTGACATCATGGACGTACATGAGGCTCCATTTTAAACTCCTATAACTCGAGTTTAAAAGCTCTTAAAAATATAACAGCAGTGTTAAAATGTATACATTTAGTACTGCTAACCAATCAGCACTCAGTGGCTGTACTGTTCAGGAAATAAATGTATACTTTTACATTAAAAATGTTTAAGCATTTAGAAACTATGATTTTGCTCAAACGCTCCATATTAGCCCATTCATTTTGGACTCACTCGGGAGCGCCCTCTAGTGAATGAGAATCCCGGAAGACATTAAGGACTGGTAGTTCTCCTCTCTCTACAAGTTCTCTGGTACTACCAACCAATCAGCACTCAGTAGCAGTACTGCCAACCAATCAGCACTCAGGGGCAGTACTGCCAACCAATCAGTGCTCTGTAGCAGTACTGCCAACCAATCAGCGCTCTGTAGCAGTACTGCCAACCAATCAGCACTCAGGAGCAGTACTGCCAACCAATCAGCACTCAGTAGCAGTACTGCCAACCAATCAGCACTCAGGAGCAGTACTGCCAACCAGCACTAATGCTTGCATCCTACAACCCAAAACTCGTTTGCTGTAGAAAAAAATGGAAATATTTAGGTAAGATTTATTTGCTTTTTAGTGAAATACATCCAAAATTAAAGGAAGGTTCGGGAAAAGTGGTCAGAAACTGTTTTTACTCCCATTCATTGAGGACCTAACGGGAGAAACAGAAAGTGGCCAGGCTTCCCTTAAACCGGCTCTGCTTTTCCTGTGAAGGGCGTAGGGTGTAGGGCGTAGGGAGTAGGGCGTAGGGAGTAGGGCGTAGGGTGTAGGGCGTAGGGAGTAGGGCGTAGGGTGTAGGGCGTAGGGAGTAGCGTGTAGGGCGTAGGGAGTAGGGCGTAGGGAGTAGGGAGTAGGGCGTAGGCACCATAACGTCTAAATGGAACGCGGCCTACAACCCCTCCCACCCTCCACTACCTTACTGATTGCTGGACCATCACAAAATCTGTCAACCACGTGATGGTTTTCCTACGCGCTGTTCCTCTGCAGCTCAGCTCGGCTCCACTTATGAGTGATAAATAAAAAGTCTCTTAGGATCGAGACTCGCCTGTTTACCCTCCGCTGCTTATTTACTCTCTTTTAAACTTTTTAAACGATGCCTCGTCCATTCCTGCTGCTCCTCGCTCTCTCATCCGCGCTCCACTGCTCGCGCCAAGAGCTGATTGATGACCTGCTGGACAGTTTGTCCAAAGCAGTGGCCTTTTTCGAAAAGCAAAGCGGGCACATTAACCTGGACGGCGTTGTCGGTTATGTCGTTCTGCAGAGTAAGTTTTTAATGGTTTTCTGGTTTTACTGTTACTGTCTTTGGCGTTTGGCACTGTTTTATGTGCCTTATGTATAAATAAGTGCTTAGCATGGTCACTTATAAAGGACTAACACAATACTTTGGACTTAAGTCCACTGGACCTAAACTATTTAGTGGTTTCTGTGCATTACAGAAGGCCTACAGCTGCTCCAGCATCATGACGAGCAGATATGATGATCAGAACTGAAGACATCTAAGATAGAAACCAGTATAATTTCTGTGTCATGGGTCAAAACATATGCACACTATATATGATTACACCAATCAGGCATAACATTATGACCACCTCCTTGTTTCTACGCTCAATGTCCATTTTTTCAGCTCCACTTACTATATAGGTGCACTTTGTAGTTCTACAGTTACAGATTGTAGTCCATCTGTTTCTCTGATACTTTGTTAGCCCCCTTTTACCCTGTTCTTCAGTGGTCAGGACCCCTATGGACCCTCACAGAGCAGGTACTATTTGGGTGGTGGATCATTCTCAGCACTGCAGTAACACTGACGTGGTGGTGGTGTGTTAGTGTGTGTTGTGCTGGTCTGAGTGGATCAGACACAGCAGTGCTGCTGGAGCTTTTAAACACCTCAGTGTCACTGCTGGACTGAGAATAGTCCACCAACCAAAAATATCCAGCCTGTGACCACTGATGAAGGACTAGAGGATGACCAACACAAACTGTGCAGCAGCAGATGAGCTATCGTCTCTGACTTTACATCTAGAAGGTGGACTGACAAGGTAGGAGTGTCTAATAGAGTGGACAGTGAGTGGACACAGTGTTCAAAAACTCCAGCAGCACTGCTGTGTCTGATCCACTCAGACCAGCACAACACACACTAACACACCGCCACCACATCACTGTTACAAGATATCATCACAGAGAAATGCCATTTTCATGTCATGGTTTATTATATAGATTCTTGATGTTGATGCATGAAAAAAAAAAACTTTAACCTTGTCATTGTATGTCTTTTCTGGATGGAGATACAGTCGGTCATCGAGTCAGAAAAAAGTAGATCACCTATACTTCATAGAAAATTACAAAGTCTCATTAACTAAATATTATATATCAGTATATCGCTGTCAGAACAAAACCTCGTATCTCCAAAATGGTAACTTTACAGAAGGACAAAACATACTTTACTTTTAATGTAAAAACTGAAAAACTACAAAAATGGAGATATGAGGTTTTTGTCCCAACAGCCACTCTCTACTTTTATTCCAGCTTCCATTCTTTTCTGGAGACTCTCTTTCAGTTCCTCAAAGAATCTGCAGACACACCTCCAAAGTTCAGTCTTAGAAGCTGGTTGATGATTTTCTGAAGTAATCAAACACATTCAGTGGTGTTGAGGTCTGGACTCTGGGGTGGTCAGTCCGTCGTTCAGCTTCTTTATTTGATGTGTCCGTCTCCTTTTCTCAGTGAGGTTCTTCTTGATCAGCTACACATCCTTTCAGACCCACAGCGCTGAGTCGTCTTCTCACAGTGGAAGGATGGACAGAAACACCTGTGGATGTTTTCAGATCTGAAGCAGCTTGATTTTCTCCTCTCTCTCAGAGATGAAAGTGCTGTTTATCTGATGGGGGCAGGTTTGGTGTCAACCAGCTCTTCCAGGTGGTTGTTAGGAGGCCCATTTTCTCTGTAGCTTGTTTGAACTCGTTTGACTTTCTCCTTCTTTATGCAAGTGGATTATCTTATATCTAATCTCCCCAGAAACATCTGCTGAAAAATTAATAATTTGTATGTATTATTAATGTGTTTTCATGGCACAAAAATCTCTGCTTTTATTCACATGAAACAGCTCAGTTACAGGAAGCCACGAGATCTTGGCCTCACTCAGACTTCGTCAGCCTCTCTCAGCGCTCCACAGCTGTGTCTCTGGTCAAAAAGCTGGACAGAAGCTTGTCTCACGCTGTCAGGTCGCTGCAGGAGACGGACCAGAAATATTACAAAGGTAAAGCTCGGCACAAGTCAGTCACACACCTCTCACCTCTCAGTCAGAAAGAGGTCTTGATCTTGATGACCTGTTGTATTATAAAAGTGGAATCCAGCACCGAAGATCCCTTTCAGTTCTGATCCTTTTGACGGTATTAAAGTTAAATAAAGTTAAAAAATGAAGCAGTGTGATTCTCAGCTTACATGCAGAGCTGGGCGATATGGCCAAAAATGTTATCACGATAAACAAAACTCATATCGTTCGATATCGATACATATCGCGATAAATGTCAAAACATTATTTCTTTTAAGTTTGAAGGCTAATTTTTGCTCCTGGGTGGTTAATTGCTGTTTTAAACTATCCTTTATGGTCTGAACACAACAAACACTCACCAAACAGTGGAACATTTCACAGATCTGTCATGGGACAGTGGGAGAGAGTGTCTGCTGAGCTGTTTCTACCAGCTGGAAAAGCACGGCTATTTTTGTAATAGTCATAATTTAAGAAAGAAAACAGATTATTTTTAGCTGGTGCCGAGCGCTCGGCTACCCCGCTACACATGACATCACAGTATTCAGACACCAGCTAGACGACTGGATTTCTCTATACTATCGTAGTAGTTTAAGGGGTGAACCGCAAAATATCAACACCAGACAAACAGAGTCCTCTTTTAGGTACGTTTAAACTGAAAGTGGTGCTTTTGTGTCGTGTTTGATCTACAGTATCATCAATTCTCCGTGTTGTGGAGTGACGGAGCGCTGCTTCAAGTTAGCCAGCTGCTAAAACAGCTAGCCTGGAAAGATAACGCTCTCCCGCTCTCCAATGCCTCACAGCTTCCTCAGTTTACTTTCGTTTAAATCAGGGCTGTAATTTACATGAACACACTTCTTTCTTTCACTTTTGTTGATTGGGAATGCACTAATACTTAAATATGACTGTCCGAGCGCTGTAACAGCGCTGTAGTTGTGAGGATTGTGATTTAATGCTGCTAAAGCTGGTTAGGATGTTAGTAAAGAGGTGAGTTCGCTGTAGGTCAGTACAGTTACACCACTGACCTCGTCACTCACACTCGGTCACAGGAGAGCAGATCGCCGGACGCTCCACTCAAACAGGGAATGTATAACTCCGCGTTTCAGCCGTTGCTAAAGACTCATCTTACTTGTGCGCCCTCTCCCTCTCTAATCATGTAGAAAAACTCGGAAGTGCGCCCTCTCCTGGCGACAGCAGAGTAGTGTCGCTTTCCTTGCAATAGAAAACGCCACCAAGGCTTTCGCTGAACGTGGAGGTGTGAGATGGGTGTATTATATCGAACATTTATCGAACATGTCGTATCGCTCTATCGAGGAAAAGTTATATCGCGATAATTATCGTTATCGTTTTATCGCCCAGCCCTACTTACATGCTTAAAAAAGATACTTTTTAATGGTTCTTTGTAAAGGCCGTGGTTCTATTTAGAAACATGAGTTCTATATGGAACCATTTGCATGCCTAAATGGCTCTTTAGATTAATGTAGAATGTGTTGTATATGGTTCTATATAGCACAAAAAAGGGTTCTGCTTTTGTTACGATATCAAGCTTGTATGCTATAGAGAGCTGGAGCCGTTTAAAATTTTTTAAAGTCAAAACAATCAACTAAAGCACAAAAACTCGGAAACAGTACTTAAACACACTAATGGTGTACTTGATGTTCACCGCAGAGTTCGAGCCCATCCTGGACACAGCTTTTTGGGTTTTGCCTCGCGAATGGAGCTCCACTGACCCTTCCCTCGTGTACTCATCGCTCAGAACTACAGAGTGTTATGATGAGCAGGTGGGAGACAAGTGCATGACGCTGCTGCTGGGAACGTGGTAAGAGGAATAAAAACACTCTGGTCACTTTGAAAAAGAGGACAAACGTGATTCAGAATTACAAATGTCGTTTCTGAAGGAAAGACAACGGGACGCCGTGCATCGTGACGAAGTCCTGCAGAGACACAATGACGCGTTTCGGATGTCCATATTACTCGCTGTCTCACCAGCTGCTGTACTTCATGATTGGGACCATGGTAACGTCTTAGCTTCACTCCTGTGACTGACAGTGCAAATGCTCGTCACCGTCAATTACATTAGTAGTAATGTATCGATCATTTTAACGATCAATCAATTAATCTGGAGTTTTAAAAAAGGCAAAATTAGAATTATTACATTTTATATATTGCATAAATAATTGAAAAAATATATAATTTTTTTAATTGAATAATTGATTAATCATGATCAGAAATTGCTGTACAGTTTGTGCTGGTCATCCTCTAGTCCTTCATCAATGGTCTCAGGACGCTGTTGGTAGACTATTCACCACAACCAAATCATACCTGCTCTGTGGGGGTCCTGTGGGGGTCCTGACCATTGAAGAACAGGCTAACAAAGTATGCAGAGAAACAGCTGGACTACAGTCTGTAACTGTAGAACTACAAAGTGCTCCTATATGGTCAGTGGAGCTGATAATATGGACAGTGAGTGTAGAAACGAGACAGGTGGAGGTAATAAAATAGCCAGTGAGTGTATTTTGCAAATTTTTCATTTATTCTATTTATTTATTGACTTTTATTTTTTGAGGCAATGACAAGACGTCATCACTGTCCATACAGAAAAGCATTTATCTTCAAAAAGTAGCTTTACAGTAGTACTTTAAATAAAGGTTACTGTAAAGAGATTTTATTCCATGTCATTTTGTAAATGGCACTTGCTATTTGCAAACGCTGTAGGACAATTTATGGGGTTTATTTGACAGCGATGATTTGCAGTTAGCTGTGTGTCACTGTTGCAGCCTGACGTCTGTGTCTCCTCAGAAAGGATGCTCCAGGATGCTGAAAGGTGATATGCGGCTGTCTCGCGTCAACATTACTGTGGAACACTATCAGAGGATATTCTGCTCCAACATGATGAAGAGCAACCAGGAGATTATCAGCAAAGGCTTCACCAGCCAGATGCAGGATATTTTCATCGAAAACAGTTAGTATATGTTTGGTGCCAAGAGCCATTATGTGAAGGGCATAATGGATAGCATTTCAGGAGTGTGGCTCCTGGGCCATAGTGAGAACGTCCGGGGACAAACGATGAGAGATTTGGGCTAAATGCAGGTTGAAATGTAGACTTATTAGGCTGTGACATTCATAACTAATCCAACACCTTCTTAAGGCAGAGCTGAAAGTAGGGTTGTTGGCACATGGATGTTATGTAAGTTAGCATGGACCCCCAAAACCTCAGTTAACCCTCTGGGTGTCGACAAATGCGCCGACACGTTAAATTAAATTCTCTGTGTTTCTGTAAATATCTTTGTGATAATCCAGCGCAGAAATATGGTACAAACGTTTCCTGAATCTGTAGAGTCGCCCTTTCCATTTCATCTTATCACGAGATCATACGAGACTCACACCGGAGTTATGAGCCTGTGAAGAGGGGCTGAGATACACGTCAACTGCCTCTCACCGTGTGGAACTGGTGGATTTGTGTGTCTGTCATCTGGCTCTCCTCTGTAATTGGTGGACTTGTGTGTCTGTCTACATTTTACGTGAAACTGACCAATAGACTCAGGAAATCGCTAAGGACTGACCCATCACGTTGAAAACACTTTCGTTCAGTCGCGAGTGTTGTGCAAAACGTTTGCAGCTGCTGAAGTTGCTGCAGCAGTTTTGGAAAGTAGTAATGAGGAAAACATTTATCTACTATTTTATTCATACATTCCACTACTTTTGTGAACCTAAGACTTTGGTAAACCCATTTTAAGCACCAAAACAACTCATCCACATGAGTACAGCTACGTTTTCATAAGCGATTTTAAGAATTTCTGAAACCGAATTAAGGTTTTTAGCTTTCTGGTCCAGTTATCTCTTTATCCAGTGTTCCAGGTCAAAAGGGCTTCATTACAGAGAGAGCTGAGATTGTTCTGAACCTTTTGCCATATAACATGTGGGTATCATGTTATATGTAAGTGCCTTTAAGGTGAATTTAAAAATATATGCAAAAAAATCAAGAAAATGCCCTCAGAGGGTTAAGCATGTAGAAGTGTGGAGAAGTCACTGCAAGGTTAAAATGAACACTGGCTCTCGCAAAGGAAAAACAGTTCCGTTAGCTAACGATAGCATTTCACTAACTAGCTTGTACTTTGGACATTAAGGCCCAAACCCATTTCACCCCTCACCCCTACCACTCAGCCCTTAGCCCTCCATTCTGTGCGTTCACGTCTAGGGGTAGGGTGTCCCGATTCTTGTTGAGATAGAGGGGTAGGGCGAAGTGTTGGGGCTACATGACCCTCCAAACGGAGGTTTTTCAGAGACTCCAAACAGAGAGTTATGAGAAAAAAAGGAAAACTGGCAAGATGGAGAACAAGAGACCAAAGAAACACACAAATGTGAGAATTTTCTGTTAGAAAATTATGATAATCATTGTATTATCTTAGTTTAACGTCCTTTCAGTGTATTATGGTCCTTTTCTTCATAACAAGCATAAAAAATCCCTATTATGCCGATGTCTCAGTAGTTAGCTAGCTAAATTTCCTGTTCCACTTTAAATGGTGCAGCAGTTACATTCTGGCGCCTCAGGCATCAGAACTGCTGCATCGTTTAAGGAAGCTGGTGCTTTATCGCTGAAGAATTAGGGGTGGGTGATAATAAATAACTGCCCCCTCTTTGAAGATCATATGATGCCCTAAATGTAACTAAAGCCCAGCAGTGAGGAGCTGAACTTTACCCTCCTCTGCTGTCACTGCAGACTGGCAGGGTCGCCTACAGAGCAGCGCTAGTAGCTGTTAATGAAGTGATGCTATTTTTATTTGAGGGTCCCATTTTCTAGGGAAGCTTTCAACCACTACCCCTTGTAACTCAGCTCCAAGGGGCAAGGTGACACCCGAAAACAAAGGGTAGGGGTAAAAATAAGTGGGATTGGGCCTAAAAGAGAACAGACTAGATGAATTTAGGGCGGGGCTAGACGGAGTGTACCCTTGTGGCGAATCTAGCATTGAAAGTTTAACAGGTGGTTAAACCCCAGACGTATATTCTCATTATGAGTTCAAATCTACCCGAGAGACTACAGTAAGTGTTCTTAACTATAATGAATGTCAATTTAGCAACAGTTTATTCTAAATCATTTCTATTGGTCCATTCATCACGAAATGTTCACAGAATACAAAAGATCAGCTGCTGTATAGCATAAAAAAATTAAGTTAAGTAAGAAGTTTTAATATAATGTATCCTCCAATCTTAAACTGCTGTCTTCCTTTTACAGTTCTTCTATGTGGTTTGGCTGGCTTCTCCGACTTTTACAAAGCAGACTGGTTACAACACATTCTGGAATGGCAAGACAAAGAACTGGGCTGTTTTGGAAAAGAGGGTAAGTATATTAGCCAATACATGTTCATGTGTTTTCTACATTATGCGCCTGGCTCTAACGCAGCACAGCAGAAGAGCCTCATCCCCATGACGACCGAGTACATCAGTATCATGTATCTGTTCTGTTTTTCCTCCCAGAGGACTACTTGCAAATGTTTGAGGAATTCTTGGATACGCCCCACCGGCGAGTGAAAAGAAGAGAAAAGACTCTAAAAGGTGATGGTCACATCTAGCCTGCTTTTGATTAAGCTGATTCTTGATTATGGAGAAGGAGGGGTGTAAAAGTGCTTCACTCTGAAGATGCAGATTCATTTTGGAATGGCAGGATTAATTATAATAAGTTAGAATATTACATAAAGTATTTTTTATGGACAGTATTGTGCATACGAGACCACCCTTTCATTTATTTAAACTCCAGTCAAAACAGCTGTTGAGTACAAGTTATTCATTTTCAGGATTTATTTCTGAGGAGATTAGATAGGCGATAATCCACTTACGTAAGGAAGGAGAAAGTCAAAGGAAAAGAAGTAAAAAAAAAACAGGAGTTTCCAAAACTGGAGTTCAAAAAATGATTAAAAGCTGCAGAGAAAATGTGACTCCTAGCAACCACCTGGAAGACCTGGTAGACACTGAAACTAACCCCATCAGATGGAGACAGGACAAAATTCGAGCTCCACTCTTGCTTTTGTGTAGCTGTCATAGAGCCCTTTCTGAGAAAACGAAATTATTCCTAATTATATTTGCATTTGAACACCAAAGCTGGACAAACTGATATGTTTAGTAAGCTCATTTTAAGTGGGATTACTTGGTTAATGAGAAGTAGAGAAGTGCAACCAACTTCTAAGACTGAACTTCGGAGGCGTGTCTGTAGATTTCTTTGAAAAACTGAAAGTGAGTCTCCTGAAGAGAATGGAAGCTGGAATAAAGGTAAAGAGTGACAAAATAAAAACTGAAATAAAAGATATTAGGTTTAGCTTTTGAATTGTCTGTGTAATTTTCTGTTAAATGTATGTTTTCTGCTTTTTTCCTGACACTGAAAAATGAATAACTTGTACATAACGCCTGTTTTAACTGAAAATTAAATAAATGAAAGTACTCAAAAGCAAGCTTTATATGCACAGCCTACAGTGCACACCGATCAGGCATAACATTATGACCACCTCCTTGTTTCTACGCTCATTGTCCATTTTATCAGCTCCACTTACTATATAGGTGCACTTTGTAGTTCTACAGTTACAGACTGTAGTCCATCTGTTTCTCTGCATACTTTGTTAGCCCCCTTTTACCCTGTTCTTCAGTGGTCAGGACCCCCATGGACCCTCACAGAGCAGGTACTATTTGGGTGGTGGATCATTCTCAGCATTGCAGTAACACTGATGTGTTGGTGGTGTGTTAGTGTGTGTTGTGCTGGTACGAGTGGATCAGACACAGCAATGCTGCTGGAGTTTTCTAAACACTGTGTCCACTCACTGTCCACTCTATTAGACACTCCTACCTTGTCAGTTCACCTTGTAGATGTAAAGTCAGAGACGATAGCTCATCTGCTGCTGCACAGTTTGTGTTGGTCATCCTCTAGTCCTTCATCAGTGGTCGCAGAACGCCGCCCACAGGACACTGTTGGCTGGATATTTTTGGTTGGTGGACTATTCTCAGTCCAGCAGTGACACTGAGGTGTTTAAAAGCTCCAGCAGCACTGCTGTGTCTGATCCACTCACACCAGCACAACACACACTAACACACCACCACCACGTCAGTGTTACTGCAGTGCTGAGAATGATCCACCACCCAAATAGTACCTGCTCTGTGAGGGTCCATGGGGGTCCTGACCACTGAAGAACAGGGTAAAAGGGGGCTAACAAAGTATGCAGAGAAACAGATGGACTACAAAGTGCACCTATATAGTAAGTGGAGCTGATAAAATGGACAATGAGCGTAGAAACAAGGAGGTGGTCATAATGTTATGCCTGATCAGTGTATGGTGATGGCTGGTGATTCTGTGAATAGAGATTTATCCTACTCTTCTTCTCCACTACATTCACCTTTCACCTCATTACTGTGGTGGGCTAGTAACTGCCGAGCGTTTTTTCCTTTTGCAGACGGATGTTCGAGTCACATGACGGGTGTTGCAGTGAGTGCACTGGGCGGTTACCTCAACTTCTACCTAGCTGAGCAAGACATTACAAAGAGGCCGCTGATCTAAGACTCTGGACACTGTGGCTATGGACCTGTGCATAAAATAATAACAAACTGTTACATTCACTAACACGCATGCCTTTTTATTCTATAGAAAAATAAACAATCTGTACATTTTTAAATAGCAGTATAGTATCGAAGAGCGATGCTCTGGTAATAAAACAACATGCCATATAAAGATAAACATGAGTAGACATATATCATAGCCTTAACGTAAGAAAAGAAATGAAGGTTGGTGAGTTAAAGCAGATTTTTGATGCTCAGAGTTTGGAACCCCTGTGGGTGCATTTTGACCCAAAGAGCTTTCTCAATAATGCATGTTTAACTGCATTCCAGTAACAGCATGTACTCTCAAGCTGCATGGGAAGCAAGACTGAAGTCATAAAAACTAGGTTTTGCAAAAGAAATTACACTCTAACAAGCATTAATCAGTGAAATATTTTTGATTTTTTCCCCAATCCTGATCCTGTGGAGTACTGAGACCCTCTTGCACTGCACATTACTGTTCTCCTGCTTTAATATAGCCATTTTATCCTCATAAAAGGTTCGAATCAGATCTGTTAAATGAAGAAAAGCACTAAAATGTGCAGTGCAGAGGGACTCCAGCATCAAGACTGGGAAACTCTAGTACGCTACTCTTGTTGTAGAAAACATTAAAGGTTTTTCCACCTAATCTCTGTCTGCTACAACTGTAGCATAGGTTTGATTACCATGTAATAATTTCGATGTGTTACTTGTAAAGTTGGCACGATACCAGTTTTACTTTTCTGATACCGATAATGAATTACGAATACCAAAACTAAAACGTTTAGTACCAACATATCGCTGCTGTCAGAAAAAAACCTCATATCTCCAAAATGGTAACTTTACAGGAGAAGGAAAAAACCTACTTTGCTTTTAATGTAAGTCAATGGAACCAGACTTCCAAGTAATTTTGGGCTGTTTCTTTTGGTCCATTCATCATGAAATTTACATACAATGTAAAGGACAACAGGTATTTTCAAATTATATCAAAAACTGAAAAACAAAAATGGAGATAAGTTTTCCCGACAGCAGCGATATGCTGGTATTGAATTGATACGGAATTATTTGGCAAAAAAATCTCATGCACACAATTGTCCACTTAGCCTAGATGTCGTTGATCAGCCAAGACATGTTTGGTGTCCAAATGTTGCTTCTTTAGCTTAGTGCTGGAGCTACAAGACTAGCACTGCTAACCAACACTACAAGTCAATAGTCACCCAAATCTTTTCCATAAGTACATCCAGAAAATGTCTCTCAAACCGCGTCTTCATTCAGGTCACACTTGTTCGTGTGGTTTAGGATACAGTATGACTTACTGTGAGCTATTAACATGAACAAAACTACTTTGTGTGGCTGAATTCAGCTACTGTACCAAAGTCTGATTCCTATGGACGCACATAAGCATATACACTACAGACGGTGCTGCTTCTGTTCATAAATAATTAGTAATATTAAATTTTCTACCTGAATATTTGTATAGTTTATATAGTGAAAAACCTGTTGGCTACAATGGCTACATCAACAACCCAGTGCAGCCTTTATGAGGAGCTGGATGTGGTTTAAGTAAGTTTAGAGAAGTTTTGAGGGCGTATTTACGTAAATGATTTTGGTGACTAAGGACTTCTAGTGTTTCTTGGCAACAATCAGCTTGTAGCTTAATGGGGACCTGGATGCAGTTTGAGTGGATTGAGAGAAGTTTTGGGGCTGTATTAAAACAAAAGATTTGGGTGACTATTTACTTCTAGTGTTTGGCTCGGCTGAAAGTTGGTGGAAAGTTATGTACATTTGATTTTTCATTAAACAATTATTTTAAAAAAGTACTAAGCTTTAAAATGAGCTATTTTGATTGAAGCACACTTATAATAGAGAGCTATGGGCAGCTGCATCAGTGTGTTTCCAGTCAATGGCCCTTATTTATCAAGTATTTCCAGTTCTTGTAATTTGACTTTGTGTTATATAAAAGCTGTAAGCTGACCCCAGATCAGCATTCTTACTGTGAGGAGCTGATAAATGTGAGCCAATGTTTTTTCTGTTCTTTTAGAAGGTAAAGGGAAATTACAGTCTATGGTAATTAACCATGTGCTACAGATAGAGATCAGGGTGAAAAATGCTGGACTGTTCTTTTAATCAGAACGTACTGGTCATGTTCGGGAGTGTCCTGTAAAAACAACCCCAGCATAATTTTACCATTACGAACATTAAAAGGACGTTAATAACCCTAGTCGTTCCAGCCAGTGACTTCATAGAACAAGGCCTTTATCATGCGGGCCTCGAACGTGACAGTGTTTTTGCCGATGTGTATGCGCTCCTCCTCCAGGGGCTGCTCGATGATGGCCGGCACATCCTTTCCGTACACTTCAGGGAGAGAGGAAAAAAAAGTAATTAGCCCCGCTGAGAAGAGGAGGCTTGAAATTTAATTAGCGCCTCAGCCTTGAAAACAGCACACTTTATCCCCAACTGAATAACAGACTCACGATAAACACACTCAACTGCTCATCTGTTGTAATATGAAACATATAATGTTACAGTCATGCTGCATTTAAAGAATGTACAGTGGCTGCTGAAGGATAGGTTCATTATTTTTAAATCCAATTGAGTTTAGTCCTTAAATAAAGGGATTGATATCTAACACAAGCTGGCCAACAAACTGCCATGACAGTCATTACGGTGACAATTTCCAATTGAAAAAAATGACCGATTTGATTCTATTTGATAATTAGCAGTGTTGGTGCTGAAAAAGAAAACTGAGCGATGGTAACCGGGAAGCAGCGCACTGTTAGAGACACTTACGCTCGCAGTGCTCCAGGAACTGGACGCAGTCTTGAACCACTGTATCCCTCAGCATGATCATGTGCTTGGCCATGTTCTCCAGCAGGGAGAGGAAACATCTCTTGATGTAAAACCATGTATCTGTGCCAAGCTGAAATCACACCACAGTCTGCAATCAGTAATCTGCATTATGTCTGCATTAAAGGAGAATTCCACCGATTTTTCAGAATTCCTGCAAAATGAAACAGATAAGAGTGATCGAAGCCGTTCAGAGTGGTTTGATGTTAAATGCTTCATTCTTGCAAAATTGTTCACGACGGGCCTCATTCACCAGTATCTTCCCAAGCCTTTCTTAAATTCGTTTTTGAGAAAGGTCCTAAAATAAGTCTACGTCAGATTCATGACGTGTTATTAAACCTTGGAACTGTTCACACTTTTGTGCTCTTGAGTGTGTAGATTCTGTTCTTACCTAAGAAATCCCAAGAAAACACTGGTAAATGTCAGAATCTTCTTGAAAACTGTGGAAGTGGGTTTCTTCTTTGGTGAATGAGGCCTATTGTTCACAAATCTGAAGAGTTTAAAAAGTTATTACACAAAAGGGTTATGAATACACTGCCTGATGTCTGGGACGTTGTTTTATGATACTTTTGAGAAAGATTTGGCCTAAAATGCATTTTAGATACAGTCATGGCGTGGGGACACAAGCAGGTTGTTGTCAGGAAAAATAATGACCACAAAAAACATACTTTTTCAGATTTACCACCATTTTACCATCAGCAACATCACACTGCTTTGCAGATATTGCGACCCCTGGTTCCTAACATCACCACTGTAAAGAAACCGGTGTCTTTACAATGGACCGTTTCACGTAAAAATACTCTGAATTACTTTGTTTACATCTCAACCATTAAAATATGCAGCCAGTTAGAAAATCAGAGGAATCCCCCTTTTTAAGAATTCCTCACAAGTCATGGAGGGCCACAGAAATCAACTCAATTCATTCAATTATCAAGCTGAATCAGGAACTGACCTTCACACTGCACTGTTTTGTGGCCTTTTTTGTATGTACTGACCAACACCACCTGATTTCATTAATGAAGGCACCTTCTTAAGAGCAATAGTTCAGCAAAAATTAGGTCCAAATCCAGGCTTCAAGACTGGTGATAATCACAGTTTTAGCAGCTAGCACCATGCGATGATCTCCCATTACTTTTTAGCTAGATGAGCCTCGTAGCTTCAGTGCAAAACTAAAGAAACAAACTTAAGATGTTGCTTTAGGCTCGATTAGGTACTACTGTGCAGATGTGATGTGAAGTAACTCATATCTGACTTTGAGTGCAAAAGCAGAAACAGCTGACGATATGCAGTAGCTCGTCCGTCCAGTATCTGTCTCAGCAGGATGCTGTCCGAAGGAGGGTGAGAACGTTCCTGAGAGGACAGTGTTTGTTCAGCTGCTTATGGTAGGATGTTCTTCATTTTTGGCGAGATAAAAATAACATCTGCTTAGCAGAAGTGTGTGGAGAATGGGGTGATGGTATGGAATATGTCTGAACTATTACAGGCTCAATGTAGAACGCATTTTTCCATATTTCTGCACAGGAGAGGAAAAGAAACAGGAATACCTTCTTGTTGTACGGCTCCAGGCTCTTGATCACACGAGAAATGCCAAAGTCATAGTTCCCTTTGGCACAATACAAGGTCCTGCAAGCATAATTAGATTTTGTTAAAATTACTGACTGACAGGAAGATTTTGTGGTTGACAGTAATACTACTTCCAAAGTGGTAAAACTCTCATAACTGATAACAGCCAATATAATTTAACATTTATATGTGAGATTTTAACTTGATACTGATAAAACTGCGTATCGTCAATATAGACCATTATTCTCAGCCAACCAAGAGGTCATTGTAAAGCTATGGTTACCAAATTCTCCACAAGGGGGTGGTAGTAACACTCAACTCTTTTGTATGCATCACAGAAAAAGAGGAAAACCACACTATTAGGAGCTCATTAATACATGTACTGTACTGTAACACATTTCATGTATAATTGAAGTAAAATTAACTGTTTTCTGTTACAAATTGCATGTATATGGAAAAAAGCAAAACGTAACACTGAAATCCCCATAGTGGTAATTAGCTTTATCTTAGCGGTGGTGACGATTTCTGCATTAAATACTGTTATTGTGTGGCTGTCAAAAGTTCATGAAAGATTTCTCAAAACTTCTGAAAGTGGCATCTAAAAATTAAAAACATTTAATTGATTTTGCGTCAGATGTTCTTATAATACATATTTTAAATGTTCCTAAATGTTGCTCTCTATCACGTTAATAAACAGAACACACACTATTTATTCAATTAATCGTCAAAATAATACATATCGCTGTTGTCGGAAGAAAACCTTGTATCTCCAAAATGGTAACTTAAACTAAAAATCTACTTTACTTATATTGTAAGTCAATGGAACCAGAATTTTTTCCAAGTCATTTTAGGTAATTTCTTTTAGTCCATTCATCATAAAATTTACATACGATGTAAAGGGTAACGTGTGTTTTCAAATTATGTCAAAAACTGAAAAACGACAAAAACGGAGATGGAAAGGTTTTCTTCCGACGACAGCGATACTTCACATGCTATTTTTTCGTTAAAGCTAAAACTAAAGCAACAGCTGAAAAAGGCCTTCTTTGGGAATAAAGCCATCATGAATTATCCCCTTGTTGTGATGTCAGCACTCAAACCTTTCAGGTGTTTGAACCACTTTTGAGCCAAAAGTGTCAATATGTGCTTTTAAAACAAAATTCTTAAATCATTATTTAAGGAAACCTGCTCTTCATACAGAGGAATAAACTAAAAAATTCAAAAGAAACTCTAGTTTTTACTTATTTTCCTTTGACTTTCTCCTTCCTTATGCAAGTGGATTATCTTATATCTAATCACCTCAGAAACATCTCCTGGAAAAATGAATACCTTGTACCTAAAATTCAGAAGGTCTCTGAATATGCATCACAATCCACTACATACCCGATCACAAGGTTGACAATGCACAGATGAAAGACCTTCTTGTCTGGATCGTTGTAAGACACCTGTTCTTCTTCTTTCTCGATTTTCCTCATCAGCTCCTCTGCCTTCAGACACATGGGACACATGAGAAACTTAAACCTGCACAGGCATGAACCACTTCCTCCACATTAACACTTACCTCTTCGTTTTGGCTCGTCATGATGTAGGACACACACAGGTTAGCCAGAACAATCGCACTGACGTTGAGGATCTGTGGGAGAAAGCATGGCTGCTTATTCAGTCGTAGGATGATGATCAAGCACGAGCAAACAGCACACAAATCAAAACAGCAAGCTTCAGACAACACACTGTCCCATGCATTCAGGCAATACGACTCTGAGAACACGCTGAAAACTCCACCACTCATTTTACCGAAGGCTTTCTTTTGCAGGGACACTCCTGAATGTTACACTGTTCCAGCTAGCGAGGGCAAAACAAACAAACAACATGTTTTTTTTCCCACTTTAACTCCTTTGCCTACTCTATAATAACCTTTAACTCTTGTTCAATATGGCATTACTGTAAATTATAAACAGTATATCAAATTATATCTCTTAACATTACAATAACAATACAGTATATAAAGCATTTTTATAAGACACGAATTCATAAGATATTATTATCATAACATTTCAATGGAGAGATTAAATATAAAAGAATGAACTCTGTTAAAGTGGAATTGCACCAATATTTCAAATTTCGGCATTGCTCAGATCATTCAGAGTGGTTTGATATGAAATGGTTAATTTGTGTATACAACATATACACCGATCAGGCATAACATTATGACCACCTCCTCTACTATTGGGGTGGTGGATCATTCTCAGCACTGCAGTAACACTGACTGGTGGTGGTGTGTTAGTGTGTGTTGTGCTGGTCTGAGTGGATCAGACACAGCAGTGCTGCTGGAGGTTTTAAACACCTCAGTGTCGCTGCTGGACTGAGAATAGTCCACCAACCAAAAATATCCAGCCAACAGCGTCCTGTGGGCAGCGTCCTGTGACCACTGATGAAGGACTAGAGGATGACCAACACAACTGTGCAGCAGCAGATGAGCTATCGTCTCTGACTTTACATCTACAAGGTGGACTGACAAGGTAGGAGTGTCTAATAGAGTGGACAGTGAGTGGACACAGTGTTCAAAAACTCCAGCAGCACTGCTGTGTCTGATCCACTCGTACCAGCACAACACACACTAACACACCACCACCACGTCAGTGTCACTGCAATGCTGAGAATGATCCACCACCCAAATAGTACCTGCTCTGTGAGGGTCCATGGGGGTCCTGACCACTGAAGAACAGGGTAAAAGGGGCTAAAAAAGTATGCAGAGAAACAGATGGACTACAGTCTGTAACTGTAGAACTACAAAGTGCACCTATATAGTAAGTGGAGCTGAGAAAATGAACAATGAGCGTAGAAATAAGGTCATAATGTTATGCCTGATTGGTGTATATATGCAATATATGGCAGTCTGTGCAAATCTAGCCATGCTATTTACTACCCAAAACCACCAGTGAGCATTCATGTGTCTTATTTCAGTTTTATATCCAAAGTAGCCTATTGGTAACACATTTTTGGGTAAAACCTTCTCAAAACCATCATAAAACAATGTTTCAGACATCAGGCAGCATATTCATAAGCATTTCATGCAATAACTTTCTAGGAGAGAGCCGTTAGAGGTATAAACCTCTTTAGACGTCTGGTTCCTATCACCAACTGGAACTTTTCACCAACTTACTGGTGAAAAGTCCCAGTACGTTTCTCTACAATGTAGCATTTGTCATCAAACTACTCTGAAATACCTTGTTCACATCTTAACCATTTAATTATGAAGAAATTTTAAAAGATTGGTGATATTCCCCTTTAAACAGAATGGTCACTTACTGGTTCAAAACTCTATCATTTGTAACTGACATGCAATTTGCCATTGAAATGTATTTTATTTCAAATGTGCACCAGTTATTAAGTACATAACACTTACACCCCTTTGTGAGTGTTACGTACTGCACTGCACTTACATTGTCGTAGTGTTTCTTGACGATGGGCTCGTAGAATCCGATGGCCTCCTTGTATTTGTTCTCTTGCATGAAAAGCACATGTGCCACGTTGAGCTTCCAAGTGTCATGCTCACTGCAGAACTCCACCGACTTGCGGAAAATCTTCTCCACCATGTTATAGTTATCGCGGTTCCAGTAAATCTTAGCTTGTGCCATCAACACGGGAATGTACCTTCAGAAACAAATCAAAATAAACAAAAGACGGGTGTACTGGTACACTGTAAAAATTCTGCTAAACTTAAAATGATATAGTAACTGATTACATGGCTTTTCTTGAGTTGACTCAACTTGAGGACGCAAGAGTTCACACAACAAAAATTCTTCCAGCTACTGTTTCTAGGTCTGCATCTCGGTTAAATAAATAAAACTGAATTTGCGGTTTTTTACTCAATTTCTCCACTAGCTGGCGCTCCGTCTATCACGCAGTCCCATCTGGCATTATCTCCTCTTGGGCTTCTGGATATGGACAGCTGTGGCATTGCTGGGATTCAAACTCACAACCTCCTGATGTTGGGATGAATTATTAGACAGTTGCACCACATGAGACGATGCTATTCTATAAAATTAAAACAACAAATATTTTCTCCAGTGTATTAAACATTTGTAGACACAAATCTGAGCTGCTTCATGTGTTCCTGAGTGGTACTGTGGACTAAGCCGTCACCCCAACAGGAGGTTGCGAGTTTGAGACCCAGCGATGCCACAGCCATCCGTAAGTGTTTACCCAAGAGGGGAAATGTCTAGAAGGACACTGTGATGGAAAGAGTCCTGGCTGGTGGGGAAGTTGAGTATGAAAACAATTTATTTCCCTCACTGAGATGCAGAACTAAAAATTTAGAGAACTTTTGACTCAACTAAGAAGTTTGAGTTCTGAGTTTTGAGTTGAACTCAAGAAAAGCCATGTAATCACTATCATTTTGAGTTGAGCCGATCTCTCATTTTTAACAGTGTATTGAGGAAGCTCAATAACACATTAGAAAAAGTTGCTGGTTTATAGTGACTGTAAAGCTCAGGCCTCAAAATGTTGACTTACTCCTCCAGAAGTTGATCGTAGTCTTCAAGAGATTTTTTTAGGCCTTCGTCGTCCCTCATACGGCGTGATTCTTGTACCTTAAAGAATAGAACAAAGGGTTAATGTTTCTGCCTGTTTCATATTCAGTCACCTCTGCCTCTGCCTCTCTGACATAAAAATGCTATTAACCCTAAGACAACTTAAGTTATTGCTGTCTGTTAGGTATACTGTTAAAATTTAAAGGGGAATTCCATACATTTTTCAGAATTTCTGCATAATTCCATGGTTACGATAAAAATGAAGTCATTCAGGCGTTCTGTTCTAGATAAACTTAATAAGTCAGAATTGTTCACAGTGGTGGTGATAGGAACCAGACGTCCACCTCTAAAAGCTCTTAAAGAAAGTTCTTACATGACACGGTTATGAATGCACTGCCTGATGTCTGAGACACTGTTCTACGATAGTGTTGAGAAGTTTTTGGCCTATACATATATTGGCATATTTGGAAGCAGCACCATTGTGATACTGGGAGTCACAGCCTGTGGGTGGGCATTAGCATGACTGAATCTGTGGGAAAGATCTGAGTAAAAACTGATAAATTATATCAGTATCAGCTTATTTTTGGAGTAATTTTAACCTGTTATAACTGTTATGCTGACCTACCTTAGATTGTACCAATAGATTGTACCAAAAATGTTAAACTAAACAGAGGAAAAAAAAATGGTTGACTTAAAATTTCTTGACCTGGCTTGTAATTTTTTGTGTATTTAAGTAGCCGAGTTTTAAATAAATAAGAACCTCATCTGCACTATACTGTCATACATTCCCTGCCTCCTGCATGCAGTATTCACTTTCACACACTGAAGCCAAATGGACAAAGTGTAACCTGTTTGGTAACCTTGCGTAATTGCTCAGTTAGTCGTCCAGCGATTTCGTCCAACTTCCGAAAGGCCTAGGGACGAGACAAAGAAAAACCAGGGTCATTCAAAGTACAAAGCAACAGTAATAATCATTGTACTGAAGCAACAGAACAGGACAGGGAGCAGGTTATGGTGATCATCATCACAGCTGTGGTTTGGTCGCAGTAGATCATTCCAGCCGTGACGCTATTCAGCGTGTTACGCCTCCAGAAAAAAGTAGAACAAAGAAGTCTCACGCTGTTTTACACGTTTTCAATATTGGCAGTTTCTTCCACAAAAAAAGTAGTTTCAGCAGCTTAAGAGTAAAATGACCATTGTTGTTACATGGTCACGTGTTTAATTTCAACTCCAATATGTTCCAGCTAACTTAACAATGACTTCCAAATACAGGGTGATTGAAAACGATTCATCCGATTTCAAAGCGCCATATTTTTATAACCGTGAGGCGCCTAGGAACCAATCACATTCCAATTGAAAGAGGGGGTCAAAGAGTTTCTGACTGTCAGTGGAAGACGGCTCCCTTCAGTCTGTGAGGAGATGAGACCCCTGAGCAGAAAGCCTTCTGCATTCTCCACTTCAATAAGAGTGAATCCGTCATAACTGTGCAACGTGATATTTGTCTGCAGTGAACCTCCAACAGCTCAGAGCGTTCGGCGTTGGTTCCACAGCACTGGATGGTCTCCGAAATCGCACTGAAAGAGCCGTGAGTGCAGCGACACCCTGGCATGCTCAATCCAGTATGGGATGAATTTGACTATGGCGTTGATGTTGTCTGTACAGCTGGAGGAGGTTCATACTGAGCACTTGTAAAATTACATAATAAACTTTACGCTCTTTAAACCATTTACAATTTTCTGCATTGTTCTGTAACGATTTACAAGTGAAATAAATCATTTTGAAATCAGATGAATCTTTTTGAATCACCCTGTATTTATGGACCTGACTGCAGCAACCAGTGATCAGTGGAATGAGGCCGAGGTATACTGGAAAAAGATGCCGTTACAGGATATAAAAGAACTTTTATTTTTAACCAATTAAATGTGTTCCAGACAAGTATCAAAATTCAAAACTTTTTTGGTGTCAAACAAATTATTTCAATACTACTGGGTTTTGAAAAATTCTGTCTCATTCAATACCAAATTTTAATATAATAAGTGGTCTGTCTTATCAGCACCAGTGAGCCAATAGGCAGGTTTGTTCCAAAAAAAGAAATCTGTATGGAGGTCAGTTGATATGGTTTTTTTTTTCATACGAATGGTAGAACTTTAATAAAACTGACCAAACAGAAGTGAAAGACTGTTTTGGGACCACTGTTACCTCTTCTGGAGCTGTCTGGGACGTCAGCATGGCGTCTAGGAACTCATACAAGTACTGCATACAGAGAAACAGACCATCAAACTCACAACTCAAACAGAGAAATCTCACAATAAATCACATTCACTTCAAAATGAGTACTATGGCTGTGTTTAGGGATGCACCGATATGGGAACTGAGGGCCGATGCTGATTCGATATTGTTCAATCATCATTCATTTTCATCCATAACCGTCTGTTCTGGTTCCTCCACCTTACAAGAATGAGCCAAACTCCAGTGCACGATCAGGACGGGAGAGAGTATCATTGGATGTAGTCTGCAAACATCTACCTCAGCAGGGTGATGAAGCACACTGGCAAAATTTCAGCTGACATCACCTCCTCCAGCCACTCCCCTCTGGTAGAAGATTCAGGGCCTTCAGAACCAGCACAGCCAGACATGCTAACAGCTTTTTCCCTAAAGCTGCAGTTCATCAAACACAGGACGCCTCACACTTTACACTTAAACTGAACCAAACAAACCTCCTCACTGCATTACAAGTAAGTACAACTTCTCTGTAAGATAATGTTTATGTGCACAAATCCTCATATCATTCTGTAAAATTCTGTGCATGATAGTTATATTACTACTCAGACCTACATATGTATAGATATTTCATATCTGCATGTGTACCAAAATTCACACTTCTCTTTAGCCCCTTTTACTTTGGCTCTTTATTAAACTATTGACTGTGTTTTTATTTTATTTGTCCTTTAGAGAAATATCTGTTAGTAGTCTGTGTGCTTGTCTGGTCTGTTCAGTATGTTACACATCATGCACTATATTGCCAAAAGTACTCCCTCGTCTGCCTTCACACGCACATGAACTTGAGTGACATCCTATTCTTAATCTATAGGGTATAACATGATGTCGGCCCACCCTTTGCAGCTATAACAGCTTCAACTCTTCTGGGAAGGCTTTCCACAAGGTTTAGGAGTGTGTTTATGGGAATGTTTGACCATTCGTCCAGAAGCGCATTTGTGAGGTCAGACACTGATGTTGGACGAGAAGGCCTGGCTCGCAGTCTCTGCTCTAATTCATCCCAAAGGTGTTCTATCGGGTTGAGGTCAGGACTCTGTGCAGGCCAGTCAAGTTCTTCCACACCAAACTCGCTCATCCATGTCTTTATGGACCTTGCTTTGTGCACTGGTGCGCAGTCATGTTGGAACAGGAAGGGGCCGTCCCCAAACTGTTCCCACAAAGTTGGGAGCATGAAATTGTCCAAAATCTCTTGGTCTGCTGAAGCATTAAGAGTTCCTTTCACTGGAACTAAGGGGCCGAGCCCAACTCCTGAAAAACAACCCCACACCATAACTTTACACTTGGCACAATGTAGTCAGACAAGTACCGTTCACCTGGCAACCGCCACAACCAGACTTGTCCATCGGATTGCCAGACGGAGAAACGTGACTTGTCACTCCAGAGAACACGTCTCCACTGCTCTAGAGTCCAGTGGCGGCGCTTTACACCACTGCATTCAACGCTTTGCACTGCGCTTGGTGATGTAAGGCTTGGATGCAGCTGCTCGGCCATGGAAACCCATTTCATGAAGCTCTCTATGCTGTTCTTGAGCTAATCTGAAGGTCACATGAAGTTTGGAGGTCTGTAGCAATTGACTTGCAGAAAGTTGGCGACCTCTGCGCATTATGTGCCTCAGCATCCGCTGACCCCACTCTGTCATTTTACGTGGCCAACCACTTCGTGGCTGAGTTGCTGTCGTTCCCAATCGCTTCCACTTTGTTATAATACCACTGACAGTTGACTGTGGAATATTTAGTAGTGAGGACAGAGCTTAATGTGTGTCTGTTTATCAGCAGGAATAATGTTAGTGTGGTCAGCTAAAGCGTCTGGGAAATGGAAACTGAAACTGGTGAGCGAAGATGCTCTCATAAACAGCACAAAGCAGTGTCACAATATTCATAACAAAGTTTATCTCACTTTAGTTCTGTTTTGACCTTTAAATCAGTAACTGTCTAACTTTAAATCAGTAACTGTTAAATCAGCTGTCTGGCTAACTAGCTTCATTATTTTGATTACGTGTTTACATGTCAGCTGTGTGCGTATGGTCGTTTGCTCGGCAACAGGCAAGACAGTCGATTGTCGACTTTGATCGAGTAGGTTAAGATTTCCTAACTTGAGATAAGATGCGGTAAAATGAGATAAAATCTTATCTTGACCTGTCAGATCTTAACTTAAGACAAAAAGATAGGACGTTCCTGTAATACGGCCTCAGGTGCTTCTATTCTTTTTAAGCTCTGATAAAGACTGACTGTCTGATTCTGACCAATTCTTAGAAAATAAAAACAAAACAGTGACGATAAACCCCTAAACTTTCACTTACTTAACTAATCATTAGTAAAGTCACAGTGGAAAGCAAAGTCAAAACAATTTCTCTTACTGGAGAAAGAAACTTGTAAGTGAGGTGTGCGTTTTCAGCCATCACATCAGCAGCAAGGTCAAAGTACTGTGAATAAAAGCAGAGAAAAGAGAGAATGTTTACTCTCATAACAAAGCACTCAAAAAAATCCTGCTTTTACTGCACGGCAGGGAGAGCTTAACCCTCATATTAAAGCGCAGCTTGTGGTGTTACATAACCAACAAAAATGTGCTCACTAGGAAAGTAATAAATGAAGCACACAGGTTTTTACCTTCACGCTAAAGTTTTCCTTAATGTGATGGTTGCGCCAAAAACCCAATTTACAATTTTTCAACTTATTCCAAATTCAGTTGTTTAGCAGTGACATGTCTGGTGTCCAAAGTTTGCTTCATATGTGGTTTCTGACACTGTATGTCACACAGCTAAAACAGATAACATCACGTCATACAATTGGGGTGGGTGATATGGCAAAAAATTTTATATCATAATACTTCAAGGCATTTTCACAATATGCAACATTATACTTCTGGTTTTTTTTTTTCTGGAGATTTAATAAGTTAAATAAAACCTATAATGTCACATAAATAATACAATGATAATGCATATTGTGACATAGCTAATCACAATAACAATAAAATATCGTCCTATTGCCCACCCCATCATACAGTGTCAGAGACCACAAAAGCAGGTCAATTAGATATTACTGAACAGCGTCACACAGTTTGAAGCAAGTGTCTGATGATTTAGACATGCAGTTAGCATTATGCTATTTGGTGGACTATAAGCTTGAGCATATCTAAAGAAGAAAACGCCACTGCTTTAAGAATACAGACCCTCACCTCATACTTGCAATAGAGCAAGAGCAGGTTGCCAAAAGTGACTGGAGGGAAAGGGCTCTGCTGAAGGAGGAAGGCCAGCTTCTCAAAGCCCTCTGATGGCTTTGTGTCCATGTTCATGAGCGCTTGATTGTGAAGGGTGACCGGATCCAGCTCCTAGAGGAGTTGGCAATATAGCATAAATAAATAGAATATTACAACAATATATATATGGTATGTGATATTTTCAGACTCAATACATATCATGATATTCAGCTTTCCTGAGGAGGCACAATGCACCCGTAGTGCCACATTTTAAATTGCTATTAGAAACTGAGTACAGTATTTTTTTTTTTATTACATAAGTACTGTGCACCACTACAACCAATTTGAATTGGTATCAAGTAAAACCTTAAACAGCTGTAATACTCGGAAGCTTCTTTTCCATTTTTCTTTTTTGGATTTTTCCCAACTCTTCTCCCAAATTTAGTCATGGCCAATTCCCACCTGCTAGCAAGGCTAGGTCTCCACATCACACAATGCTACCAAGCTGGGAGAATGAAGGCTAGCACATGCTTCCTCTGAGATACATGACATCCACCCTATCTTGTCAAACTGCCTCCATGCACTAATGTCCGTGTTCTGAACAAAAACCCAAGCAAAATAACAAAGAACAAGATATTTCACTTCTAAGCTGTAACAACTATGAGTGGATTTTGCACTGTGTCTCTGTGGCAAAATGCAACCCCTACGAATCTCTGTGAACCCCTATGAACCTCTGTGATCCCCTGTGAACCCCTACAAACATCTCTGAACCCATGCAAACACTTTTAAACCCCTGCAAACCCCTATGATCCTCTGTGAACACCTTCAAACACCTACGGACCCCTGAGAAGACTCTGTGAACCCCTGTCAACCCCTACGAACCTCTCAGAACCCTTTTAAACCCCTATGAACCTCTGTGAGCCCCTTCAAAGTGTCCCGAACCCCAAATTGTCTCAAAGTTATTGAACAGTATATAATTCATGTCATTGGCAACATGATCAACTGCAGACAGTTAAACTGCTAAATTTATATGTCAGATGGGGAGGAGGCTTGCAAGACGAGGGCTGCATCCACCCAGATGAGCTTATGACATCTCAGCTAACACTATAGTCTACCTGCCAGTAGACCTCTGAAGCATGTCGTCATTTAAAAATGTACGAAGGACAAAAAGTACTGGGTTTGGAACCTTTTTACCACAGACTGCGATAGCTGTGATTTTCGAAAATAACATTCATTCTTTTTAGAGAAATCCAACTTCGAGACCTCCGACAAGGGCCAACGTTTAGACGGTTGTGGCATTTGAGAGCCCCCGAGCCCCTTATTAAGCCACATATTATAATATGCTCAGAAAAGCATATCATCGTATGATTTGTCATGATAACGATGTCACATCATCATACCCCCCAACACTGTTCAGAAATCAACCATTAATGCTGCTGAGCCACTGTTTACATCACAAACTGGATTCACTCAACAGGTTGAAGACTTTACTTTTTAAAAATATCAGTCTTATTGTCCTGTGAATATTATCACATATAGTAGCCAAATATTATGTATCATGGTAAGATATTACAGTTTTCCCACAAGAAACAATTTCAACCAACTCACTGGTTAACAGCAGAGGGCAGCAAACAACTAAATGCCCTTCAATTCAATTTCCAGACCAACATGTGCAAAAAAATGACACAATTGCACAATAGTCCAATGTTCTGAGTTTTATGACAGCTAAATGAAAGGAAACCTAAATATTTTGATGACTGGATAAAATCCAGCCTCTAACTCGGCTGTACACGCCGCAGTACTCCTGAGCACCTTCTCCTGCAGGGCAGAAACAGTGTGTTTAATGAGGGCTTATGTAAGTCGGGCGTACTGTTTGGATTCATTAATTCTCTCCGGGTGCCGGCACGGAGGCATGTCTCTGCAGCCCTACATCATTCCAGCAGACAGGTGTGGGCTTCCCTACTTACAGCTACAGCCCAAACACAGCCAGAGAAGCATTAAAGCCCCATCAATACTGCAAAGAGGACACATCCATTCCATAATTAGGAGAAGGAGAGTGTGCCGAGGATTTGGAATGTTTAAATTTGAGAGATTCATTTTTTTTTGTCGCTGACTTGTCTGTCTTTGACTCGGCTATGTGACCAAAAAGGTTGATCAATGAACTCTTTCAGGAAAAGCGAGCTTGCAAGAGTAAACACGCCCGGATTCTGAGGAACTGTTCAGGAAAAAAATGCAGCCACTGACGGGCATCTCACCTCATCTGACAGCTTCTGCTGACAACTGCCAAAATAAGCTTACGCACTTAAAAATGATGGTTCTTCACGGGTTCTTTAGTAAAGAAAATGGTTCTACATAGAACCATGAACATTCAAAGAATGCTTTCCATGATTAAAGGGTTCTTGGCATCATGGAATGGTTCTTCAGATTGATGGATGTTGAATGTGTTGTATATGGTTCTATATAGAACCTTTTTGAAAGGGGTTCCGTATAGCACCAAAAAGGGTCCCACTTACGATGTCAGGCTTGATGGTTCTTCAAGGGTTCTTTAGCAAAGACAATGGTTCTTTATAGAACCATGAACATTCACTGAACCCTTCCCATGATCTATATAACACCAAAAAGGGTTCTTCTATTGTGAAAAGCCTGACATCGTAACAATAGTAGAACCCTTTTTAGTGCTATATAGAACCCCATTCAAAAAGGTTTTATATAGAACCATCTACAGCACATTCTCCATCAATCTGAAGAACACTTTCACCATGCAAAGAACCCTTTAATCATGGAAGGGGTTCAATGAATGATCGAATGAACGCGAGGAAAAGTAGGACAGCATGGAAGGGTGCTGCTGTTAGGCTGCTGCTATTGATTATATCAGTAATAATCAAATGTATCAATTAATTTGATGGCTAATCGAGGCCAATAAAAATGGACTTATCTAAACAACACTTTTGCAGAATCCAAAATACTTTCATAAAAAAGTGAATGTGGTAAAATCACATAAAGACCTGCGTAAGGCTCCATTTTCTTAAGAGAGAGCAGTAAATCTTTAAAACATGCAATTAAACAATACCTAATCATTAAGAAGGTAAAAATTTAAATTTAATGAATGATTTGCTTAAATCGATTAAAATTAATTGTGAAAGCCCCTTACTTAGATTACTAATGGTGGCAAAACAATGTGTGCTACAAAACGCTACAAAAAAGAAGCAAACCAATTATTACTACACCTCTTCTGATCTTGGTGGCATATCAGTCAGTGCTTCCTGAGCAGCTTCATCTGTGGAGAAGCAAAAAAAAACAAGAAAAATTAATTTTTGCTTTATTTTGTTTCACTTAAATGTGTTACTCTGCACAGCCACTCTTTCAGCAAGACAATGCCTAACAACATAAATAGACTGATAGCCTAAAACAACATCAGTACCATATATATAGTATCACAATGGTCAGGGTTACTGTATAAGCACAGCCACTGATTACGATGCACCATTTTTCAAGCTCTTAGATCTCTCTGGCGGGTTCTGCTATCAGTACTTACACTTCTTAAGCTGGTATTCGATGGCTGCTTTCAAATTAAAAGCTTCAATCAACGCCGTTTTGTGCAGCACCAGCGTGTTACCGACGCTCTTCACTTCAATGCCTTCTGTTGTCATGCCAATTCCAAGTTCTGTGGATAAAAAAAGAGCAGTAGAACAAATAAACATGTATTAAATGTAATTTAATTTGGAGGTATAACCACACCTGCTTGATTCTTTCACCCTTCAACTCTTCACTCTCACAGCTACATAACTTCTGCATTAGTTTCACAGTAGATATGAGGGCTGCTACCGATGATTATCTTAGTAAGCGAGTAATTTGATGAGTATGTTTAATGAGCTTTTTACAAGGGAAAATGATAAAATTATTTTAACGAAACAATGACAAAGAATGTAGAGCCTTTCAAAGATTCAAATGTCTTTTATTATACAAAGACAAACTAATAAGCCTTTAAGAAAGGCTTTTTTCACAAATACTGTATCACGCCGCTGAGACACTGTTGCTAAGCAATGACTGTGACGGCTGTAGGAGACGCTCAAGCCATTTGAACATTTTTACTTCTTACTTTGCCACAAACAGAAAATGGACACTTTTAAGATCACATTTGACCGACAGCTGATTTGGTCAGACTCTGAAGATGAGACAACACTAAATTCCCAAACTGTCATCACCACTGAGCAGCTTTTCAGTCGGCAGCTGTGACAGAAGAACAACCTGGAATCAGCCAGAAATGAACCCAATGCCATTCGCCAAACGTGTGGTCAGATCTTCAGAGTCTGACCAAATCGGACTGAGCCATAAAACTGCCGCAATAAAAAACAAAAAAAGCTCAGTGGTGATGACAGTTTGGGAATTTAGAGCTGGAGAACAAACTGCTCGCTGTGCAGCGAGTGACCGGAGTTCGTTACTCTGACATGGCAACAAGCTGCTTGTTAAGGAACTATAATTTGGTGAAGGAACTGCGAACATTAAAACATATTAAACGCCGCGTTCACGGCCCAGTTTATTAATTTATTACTTTATTTATTTAACTGTTGTATAAAAGCAATAGAACACTCGAGGTCGTGTGTTAACGCTACAATATCACGCTTTACGCTCGTGCCTGCGACCAAATCACAGCCGTGATGTTATTTCGCAATAACACACTCCCTCTCGTGTTCTATTGCTTAAGCAACTATGATTAATTCATAGTGGTAACTGAATAATACGCTCAGGGTTCAGGGAGGTAAGAGTCATAGACAACAAATCACAAGCTCATTTTCATTATAGGGAACTGTAAACGTTTTCAGCAGCGCAAACCTGGATGCTCCCTCATCCCGCGCTCAATTATCTCCCCGATGTATTTGAGGGCTGCAGCGTACTGCTTGAGGCTGTAGTGACAGAGGGCGATGTTGTATGCCAAATCTGCAACGAGAACGAACAAACATGACACAGTGCAGGACTGGTGTGTTTTTAGAACACTCTCCCCCCGGGGTCGCGAGATCTCTATACCGCATCCATATCCATAAAATCAAAATTGCTACCCTGAGGGCTCAACAAGCCAGTGAAACCTTGTTATTTTTCCTGGCAACTGCCACAGAGCGATACTGTGTGCACTATACATGTGATGCATTGTGAGGGTGGGTGGGTGAGTGTCCTGGCTTGCTCACCTGGCTGATAGCCCAGCACTTGCATAGAGGCCACAAACTTCAGGCAGGCCTTTTCATACTCGCCCAGCTTGTAGAGCAGGCAGCCCTGATCCACATCGGTGTCCGGGTCATCCACAGGCAGCTGCTCCACCAGGGCCTGCAGGAGCCAAAACCAAACGTTTCCTCTTCAGAAAAGCTCTCTTTCCAGCTGTGCAGTGGTCAGCAAGCAATGTTCCACATCTGCCACTCCACCCAGTAAAGTTTCCTCTGCAAGTTCTAGCACTCGATAATCTGTAGTCTTTCAGTGTCTCACTGTAATACTGATTTTTAGCTTTAGCAATATTGATCTATATAATATTGTAAATTTTAACATATCGCTGCTGTCGGATGAAAACCTCGTATCTCCATTTTTGCCATTTTTCAGTTTTTGACATAATTTGAAAATACCTGTTGCTCTTTACGTTGTGTGTAAATTTCACAAAGAATGGACCAAAAGAAATGGCCCAAAATGAAGTCTGGTTCCATTGACTTGCATTAAAAGTACAGTAGGTTTTTCCCTTCTCCTGTAAAGTGACCATTTTGGAGATATGAGGTTTTGAACCGACAACCGACAACCGACAACGACATATGCTTCAATTTGCTTCAATTCAAAACTTAGTTTTCTTTCTGTAAATTCGTTTTCAGTCTGGTTACCGTTTACAGTACAGTTGCCTTTGGTACAGTTCTGATTGAAAACAGTCCAATCAGAACAAGCTACACTACCTTTTAAACATTTGGCCATTGTGAAGCAAAATCTATCATCTAGCACATTTGGCTGTTAACCAAAAGGTTAGTGGTTCACGCTCACCCGGGGATGACGATGGCTTCCTTACTGAAAACAGTGATTCCAAACTGAGTGGTAGTCCATTTCGGGTTTGTCAGACTTTTTTTTCAGCATAGAACGGTAGTAGTCGATAAACTTAAATAATTTAATTAATGCTAATCTAAATGTCATCTGATTCTGTGATACTGTGAAAATATCTCAGTATTGAATTTGATCAATATTGTGATATATTTGGAAACGATGACAGTATTGAATTTTTTTAACACCTCCCAACACGACACAGTTCAAACATGCAGAACAAGTCATCCTGCTCAAAAACACAGAAATGTACACTAACCATCGCTGCAGGGAAATCCTCCTCTCCGTATTTGATAGCAGCTTGTAGTTTTACCATCTGGTGTGAACAGAGACAGATTATGTAAGATCATTTATTGCTGTCCAAATGATTTAATTCTTGGTCAACAAAAACACAAGAAAGTATAATTGGAAAGATAATGATATGTGAAAAAAACATGTTTCTCAACCTTTCTGTGAAAGTTTTCAATCATTTACAGTATTGTGCAAAAGTCTTGGGCACCTGATGGACATCTGATGGTCCACCAGGTCTAGTAAGTGATTGTAAGGAGTCCCATCTTCTCTTTTTTTGATTCTTAAATCAGTTTCTACACTCCAGTTTTGAAAACTTGTTACTTTCCGTTGACTTTCTCCTTCCTTATGCAAACAGAAATATTTCTTTAAAAATGAATAACTTGTAATGGCCACTTTGACTGGAAATAAAATAAGCAAAGGGTAAAAATAAAATAATCCTCCTTCACAGTAAAATAAAGCTCTGCTGATCGTTCAAAACAGTTTTAACAATAAATGGTCTTAAACGCTGGAGTTAATATAGAACTGCTAATTCATCCTTTAACCCTGAAGATCAGCGCAGACTGCTGGTCACCATAGCAACACAGACAACAGTCTCACCTAGCTAGTAGCTAACGAAACAGCAAAGAGGAAAATTTAAGACAAACATTGATGATTTGCATTTATAATCACTCCAGCTGGTTTCCTGATACGTTTAATCTGCAGTGAGAAACTGTCGAACACTAAAACGTCATGAAGCTGAAGTCAGTTTCTCATTCGCCAGCTTCTTGTTCAAATTTTCCCACTCCACTGTAAACAGTGCCTGCTGCACCGTTTAAGGTGGAACCTTAAAAAAGAAACATTTCCTGCCAGAGATGTGGGAAAAGCGCTTAGCTGAGCTAAAGCTTAAAGCAGAGCAAAGTAAGTCTGTGTTTTCGTTTATATTTGTTAGCCTATACTAGCACATTAGGACATACTGCAACTTATTTACAGCCAAGATGGTAAAATGGACATAAAATATTGTGGCAAAATGGCTGTTCTTAATATTTGGGTTGCCGACCCCTGACCTAGGGTCTGCTGGATGTGTTTCCCTTTTGTGACAGGTTTGGAAGTAGAGTGCGCTGCGTACCTTAGTGTGACTCGTGGGGTTGTCCAGTAGAAAAGTGGCTTTCATTGCCTCTTGGAAGGCGCATGCTCCATAGAGAGACTGAGCATAGTAGAGTTTGTAGTCCTCCACCTCTGGATGCAGCTGAATTAGCTGCTCGTAACATTCGGCTGCATTAGTGAAATCCTGCATGTGGTAATAGCAATAGCCCAGGAGAGAGAGAGCAGCCCTGGACTGAAAGACAGGGGAGGAATGAGAAGAACATTTACAATTTAGTGAAGCTCATCATCTGATACACGTTGGGTCTCTTACTATTCATAGGTACTTACTAGCACCTATGAATAATTTGTTAGTTTATTAAATCTGTTTGTACACGCAGATGTACAAGGCTGCTCATTTTCATCAATAAAATCATTAAAAATTGGATGCAAACAGATGCAGAGCTCAGCATACAGCATACATAACATTATTATTATTATTTTTTTTAACTACAGACATTTTACATGTTTTATTTCCGCATGACTGCTGAATATCTGTATGTGGATATCTGTATAGTTTCTGTGGCCTCCCGCCAGCTCAACCTTTTTTCATGTGTGTATTTTAAATTTTATTTAAGCAATCATGCACAGGGGTAAATGTACAGCTCCTATTACATCTTGGAAGAATTAAGCATACAGATTTATACTGAACCTATTAAAATGAAAGGACAGTACATATATCCACACCTAAATAACATGGTAAAATAAAA